ACAGCGTTTATTCCTTTTAATTCTTATACCTACTTGCGAATTACAATGCGCATACAACCCAAGGCACAGTTAATTCTACAGTACATCGAGGTAAATAGCTTAGAACTTGAATTTAGTTCTCAATTCAAGCTTACAGTCTAACTTGGGACACGCTTAATCTCCGTCTATTAACAGTTAGTTACCTACTTACACCTGAGGTGGAACAGCGGTATAGAATATAATAGGGCTAACATAGTTCCTAAGTTGTTAATAGTAAGGTTGAGATTTAAATAGATTTACACCCGGTTTCTGAAAGGCTTGTCAACGCTAAAATTAACTAATCTCCTGTTAAATCTTTTGTCAAGTCATCTGATTGGTTGTTGATAATTCAGTCAACCAATCAGATGACTTGACAAAAGATTAAATTGATTTTAACATTGATCGGTCTTTCGGAAACCGGGTGATAGTGGGAATTTTTTATCAATGTAAAAAAAGGAGATGTGAAGAAAAATAAGAATGGAATGCAGAATTAAGGACACTTTTTTTTGAGGGAGAAAATCACCTAATGACTTTTGTCGTCTTAAGTATGGTGAGAGGGAGAAAGCCCCCAGTTCCTTTTCTTGCTCTTGGCTAGAGGCCGCGGTACCCGGCCTACAGTAGCCAGATATCGTCGCTCGATACCCGACAAAATAAACTAATATTATATATGCGAAAGTAACTCTGAACCGATTTCTGTGAAATTTGGCACAGTTTGGAACTCAAGAAAAGACATAGGATAGTTTTTATACCAAAAATCTGCAGGAAGTCTACCAAAAAGTCCACGCGAACGGAGTCACGGGCAAAAGCTAGTATAGTATATAGGTTATAGGTATATATGATATCCCCCCATATGAACTGCTCAGATAAAACAAGGCCCCTAGTCTCCGGCAGTCCCGCCGTTCCTGGCTACCGTGGTAGCGGTCAGGGTAACGGCGGGACACGGGGTGCTAAGAATCCCCGGAGGTGGAGAAAAGCCTACCACCCCCGACGACGACTGGCCCTGGTAACACACAATGTTCGCACTTTGAGGACAGACGAGAAGATTATTGAGCTGGAAGAGGCATTGGGTAGGTTGCACTGGAGTATTGTGGGGTTGTCAGAAGTCCGACGAGAGGGCGAGGACACGATAACCCTAAGATCCGGCAACCTATTCTACTACCGGGAGGGCGAACAACTGTCCCAAGGTGGTGTCGGGTTCCTCGTCCACAGGTCCCTCGTCAACAACATTCTTACCATCGAAAGTGTGCCGAGCAGGGTGGCGTACCTGATACTCAGGGTATCCAATAGATACTCGTTGAAGGTTATCCAGGTTTATGCACCGACCTCGACACACCCAGACGAGGAAGTAGAGGTTATGTATGAGGACATAAGTAGGGCCATACATACTAATAAAACCTACTTCAATGTTGTTATGGGGGACTTCAACGCGAAACTGGGAACTCGAGGCGATAACGAGCTGAGAGTGGGGCAATTCGGGTATGGGCAACGGAACCACAGGGGACAGAGACTGGCTGAGGTCCTGGAGAAGGAGGACCTCTTTGCGATGAACTCCTTTTTCCAGAAGCCGTCTCACAGGAAATGGACCTGGATGAGCCCGGACGGTTCCACAAAAAATGAGATCGACTTCATCATGACAACAAAGCGACAGATGTTCAATGATGTCTCTGTGATCCATAAAGTAAAAACCGGCAGCGATCACCGACTGGTCAGAGGCACATTGAATATCAATATAAAGCTGGAAAGATCCCGTCTGATGAAGTCTACGCTCCGATCTTCAAATGCACATATCGGTTGTCCCGAAAGCTTTCAGATCGAGCTGTCGAATCATTTTGAGTCCCTGGAGAATTGCGAGTCAGTGGACGAGATTAGCAACAGGTTTGTAGAAACTGTCCATGCGGTCGGGTCGAAGTTTTTTAGACCCCGCCGAAAAGACAGACCGCAGAAGCTTACCGATCGCACCCTCAAACTCATGGCAGAACGACGTGCTATGGTACTCCAGACCTCTGCCGATGCTAAAGCACATCGGCAGCTCAATAGACAAATATGGAAGTCCATGCGACACGATATCCGCAACTTTAACGCCAATAGGGTTAAAGAAGCGATAGAGCGGAACCAAGGCTCCAAAGTGTTCGCTAGGGACATGTCTATTGGGCAAACACAGCTGACGAAGCTGAAGGCGGAGGATGACGAAGGCCGAAGTTTTGGGTGAGATCGAGAGGTTTTATGGACAGCTATACACATCGGTCACTAAACCTGTTAGCTCAGTCGCCGATCCAAGAGCTAAACTCACCCGACACTATACCGAGGATATCCCGGACATCAGCCTATACGAGATTAGGATGGCCCTCAAGCAGCTCAAGAACAACAAAGCGCCGGGCGAGGACGGAATCACATCAGAGCTTCTGAAAGCGGGCGGAACGCCGGTACTGAGAGTCCTTCAGAAGCTCTTCAACTCCGTCATATTTGAAGGAGCAACGCCGGCGGCATGGAGCAGAAGTGTGGTGGTACTATTCTTCAAGAAGGGAGATAACACTCTACTGAAAAATTATAGACCCATCTCACTTCTGAGCCATGTCTACAAGCTATTCTCGAGGGTCATCACAAATCGTCTCACACGTAGGTTCGATGACTTCCAGCCTCCCGAACAAGCCGGTTTGTGGACTATGAGAAGGCTTTTGATTCGATCGAGACTTGGGCTGTGTTAAGATCTCTCCAGCGGTGCCATATTGACTTTCGGTACATCGAGGTTTTGAAGTGCTTATACACAAACGCCACTATGTCGGTCCAAGTACAAAACCAGAGCACGAAGAATATTCCTCTGCAGCGAGGTGTAAGGCAAGGAGACGTCATATCTCTGAAACTGTTTACCGCTGCATTGGAAGACGCTTTCAAGCTCTTGGAATGGAAAGAATCTGGCATCAACATCAACGGCGAGTACATCACTCACCTCCGGTTTGCCGACGACATTGTAGTCATGGCAGAATCGCTGGAGGATCTGAGCACAATGCTCGATGACCTCTGTAGAGTTTCTCAACAGGTAGGGCTCCGAATGAACATGGACAAGACGAAAGTCATGGCAAACGCCCATGTCACGCCCTATCCGATATCAGTTGGGAGTTCTAATCTCGAAATTGTTGACGATTGTGTATACCTGGGACAAGTGATCCAGCTAGGTAGGTCCAATTTCGAGAAGGAGGTCAATCGTCGAATCCAACTTGGATGGGCAGCGTTCGGGAAACTACGCAACATCTTCTCGTCCAACCTCAGTGCCTTAAGACGAAAGTCTATAATCAATGTGTGTTACCAGCGATGACCTATGGAACTGAAACGTGGTCTCTTACTGTGGGCCTTATAAAGAAGCTCAAGGTCGCTCAGCGCACTATGGAGAGGGCTATGCTCGGAGTTTCTTTGCGAGACCGTATAAAAAACGAGGATGTCCGCAAACGAACAAAGGTTTCCGACATAGCCCAGCGGATTAGTAAGTTGAAGTGGCAATGGGCAGGGCACATAGCGCGTAGAACCGACGGCCGCTGGGGCAAAAAGGTTCTCGAGTGGAGGCCACGTACCGGCAAGCGCAGCGTAGGACGTCCACCCGCAAGGTGAACAGACGACCTGATTAAGGTCGCAGGAAGCCGCTGGATGCAGGTCGCTTCCAACCGGCCTATCTGGAAGTCAATGGGGGAGGCCTATGTTCAGCAGTGGACGTCCTGGGGCTGATAAGATGATGATGATGATATATGATTCAGTAATCGTTATTTAATATTTTTTTAAGTATTCTGTAAACAATTATCAGCTCACTGAAACTCTATACTACTAATAAAACCGCTTTAAATTCAAATTCTTAAGACGAAAGATGATTACATTATAAAATATGTAAGCTTCATCTCGCGCTGTATTCTCGTTCAATTTAATGCGCAACATTAATTAGCAGCTTAATTATACAGCAACTACATAAATGCTTAACTTACAAAATGTTAGAAATACTTGTATAGGACCTATTATAAAGAACTAGCTTCCGTCCGCGTCTTCGCCCGCGTGGTATGTTGATAAAAAGTAGCTTATGTCTTATTCCGGAGTGTATCCTATGCCTGTGCCAAATTTCATCCAGATCCGTCAAACCGTTTTGGAGTGATTAAGTAACAAACATTCAAACATCGTAACTTTACCATTTATACATATAATATTAGTAAGAAGTAGGATTGAAAACATTTAGCTAATGTTTTTGAAACTTGAAACTTCAAAAGGAATTTATTGTTTTATAGTCAACTAGCGATCCGCTCCAACTTCGCACGGGTGCGATACTGATGCTAAATTTCTTCACTACTTTAATGGTGTTATTATACATAATAACATTCCCTTCCAATCACTCTCTATTAAAAAAACTACATCAAAATCCGTTGCGCAGTTTTAAAGATTTAAGCATACATAGGGATATAGGGACAGAGAAAGCGACTCTGTATTATACTAGATAGTGATTATGTAGCCATGCCTTGTACGTATTACCTAACAAAGGTTTGATTTCATAATTAATAGGGTTGTGGAAGATGCGATGAAATACTACGGCCCGGCTCAAAGCAGGAGTAAATGAAACGGAGAGGTTTTTAGTCAATAAGAGTCTGACACTCTCCACCAAGGACGGAAGAATGGAAAAGCCTACTCAAAAACAAAACAGAATAGATTTCTGTTAAGGCTCGTTTAATTAAAAATAACACACATTTGAGAATATAATATGCATTTGACATTGGTAGCCTAATTTGTATCTTTTTAAAAAAAAACAATCATTATTGTAGCGCTTCGTACAAGGATATCACAAAGCGTATTTATTACATACTTTAAGTTAAAATACATTGTTCAAATATCCATTCTTCTTTCATAAAGAACATAAGTATTTTACATTGCTTTTTAACAGTTACATGATGTAATTTTTCAAAAAAAAATACACTTGAACTTTTCAGTTTTTTTTTTCACTTACACAACCATCAATCACAGTCTCACTTCAACATTATAGGTACTCTTCTACATGTTCCTCTATCCAGGGTAAGAATTTGGCGACGTCAGTGAATATGACGTAATGGTTCGGGTCGCATCTATAGACCCCCTTCCGAGCAACAGAGAGTGACACCACTCCTCTAAGGTACCAAGCGCCATCTTTCTCGAAGACCATACCGCCTCCACTGTCACCGTTGCAGGCAGAACCAACTGAAATTTGAAATTACCAAAACAATATTTAGTGTGCTTTGCCCAAAATAGAAAGAGGCCGTTTATTGGTCCCTTTTGAAAACAAAGAAAATATTTGTTATGTTTTCAGCTTACTCACGTAATATTTTGACGAGATATTCGACTAGTTTCAAGCCGAATATAGTAGCAGCGCGACAGTCGCCGAATCGCGTGTCGCGGAATGCTGCTCGCGGAATGAATATGGGCCTCTAGCTTGGCTTGAAACTAGTCGAGTATCTCGTCAAATTATTACGTGAGTAAGCCGAAAACCTAATAAATAATTTAGAATGTCTCGCGAAAGTTATAATAAAAAAAAACAAAGAAAATATTTTGCCACAATGTGTAGGTACAAGTAATATTGGAGTATGCCGCGATACTATGTCCATGCTAACGCCACACCGCATTACTTTGAGAAAGGAACAAAAAGTGCAGTGAAATAATTGTTCTTCATTAAGGAAATGGTAGTGCACTTTTATTATCTTTACTTGACATTTCTTTTTTAAATACGTATGCAAGCAACCAGGCAGACAACATAATATTGTGGCACTTCACAACTAGACAAATTCAATACTTTTTTGGAAATTGTCAAAATCTTCAGTCTGTGAATTGTGTGTTTCGAAATGCAATGTGTTTTTGTATTAAATAGCATACTCATTTCATAAAATTAAGGTATCAAGAAGTTTGAATAATGATTACTCATTGATTTTAGAATAAACATAGACACAAGTTTGATTATTTTTATATTAATTCCATCGACATAGCTCAAACAACGGAATAGCTTAATGTCTATGACAGATTGCTGTAAATAGCAGGATACAGAAAAAAAATCCATGGAGAATTTATTTTTGAACAAATCATGTTCTTACCCAATAGTAAACAATATATCTATACAAAACAAGCAGGATATTTATGTAAAGCAAAACTCCACCTCTTCCAGTTAAAATTATGAGACCACATTTTTATACAATCCTTTGGTAGGTTACATATTCACTTTTGATACAAACACTGTCTCTATTGTGTATTCAGATTGAATCAACGAAGCTCAATAGAATACATACATACAAACATAAAGACGGATAGGAAACCACAGTGGTCAAGGTAAATGATTTATCTCAGTTCTGCACACACAGAGACAGCATAGAATATCTTGTTAGGATTCTACATATAATCGTAGTCAAAACATATAGAAGGTTTTAATAAAATTTGCCTATATATTGATGTGGATGGATGGCTTGTGTGAGAAGTGATATGAAAGACACAGGATTTAGTGATAGCGTGACGGGTGACAGGACAGAATGGAAGAAAAAACATATTGCGCTGACCCCAAATAAAACGGGAAAATGGCAGGAAGATGATGATGCCTATATACCGATGTGGGGTTTTACCGTGGGTTTTACATTTGTATGTCATAGAATTTGTGTCTTAATGATGGTTTTTTGTGAAGGGAAATTGATCAAATGACTTCCCTCGCCCAAGCAGAAGCGGGAGGGAGTGTCAGACTCTTACTGACTGAAAACCTCCCAGTTCCTTCTCCTACTCTAGGCCGAGGCCGCGGTACCTTACTGCACTTTCCCCGCGACCCCAGCTAAACATTGGCCTATAGGCCCAGTGGTATAATGGCTCTTTAAAATTTCTAACCCATAAAAGGTTAGCAACACAATCATAACTCTTTTAGTGTTGCCAATTGCTTTCCATCGAGTTATCAGTGCGCTCGTATTCGAGGTGCAGTCGTCGTCGAGAGAACATCTCCTAAGGATGCTCCGTGGAAGAGCAAAGCATACATTCAATGTGGTTTTAGTGGTTTGTTTGTGTTGTGTGTGATGACACCCTTACTGCTTGTGCATTTATTAGCGGGCGGCGTACTACAAAAACTTCAACTTCGTCGCAGAATAAAAGTTCTTCTCAAAAAAATATCAAAATCCACAGTTTTTTTGGTCGAAAGTAAATTACAAACGCTTACCGTCTCTATATCCAGCGCAGAACGTCTTATCGGAGGTGAAAATTCCAAAGAATTGTTCGTAAGAATTGAGACAGGTCTGCTGGTCTACTACAGGCATCTCCAGCAGTGTTAGCTCCTCTCTCGCCTTCCCTGTACTTTCGTATCCCCAACCTACCACCTGGGAAAACCATTACTCGTTATTACAAATACATAATTTTGTATAAGAGAACCATGTCTTTGTATGAATAAGCTGGCTCGATCGGACTGATACTACGACCTTCCAAAAATCCCGTTCTTTGACTGTGTGTGTGAGGACTGTTTATTGTCCTTAAGGTTACTTTATTTTTATATTTGAATAATTGTTACACTGTTCTCATATAATTGAACCAACTGTTTGTAAAAGGAATCTGTATGTGAAACTGATTTAAAAAGAGTAACCATGGAGTTTCTTGCTCGTTCTTCTCCATCGGAATCTACACTTTGGAACGAGCAAATAGCTTCACTAAGAGGACTGACCGACAGACTGACACTATATATTCAAAATTTTGTTTGACGTTCAAAAGTGCCTGTAAAGGTCTAATTGGAATAAATGATTTTTGACTTTGACTTTGACTTTTGAGGTTACTACCGATATCAGTTGATAGTAAATTACGAACAATTTCGAAAATTCATTAGACAATTTTATATTCACATACGGTTAAACGGGGTGATTAAAATTCAAGGGGTAAATAGACACACGAGAGAGGTGATTACATGTTGGCGAATTTTGCTACTAACTATTTACCTTTCTTCTGTGTCTATTCACCCCTCGATTTCTATTCACACCGTTTTACCGTACTGACAAAAAGATGAAAAAAAATAACACATAAAATACTTACGGAACCCCTGTCGCCCACGACGTATTTGATATCCGTTTCTTTTTCAGGCCACAGACAAACAGGTTGGACTCGGTCGGAGTACGTGACCTCATCACGAAGCTCCAAGATTGCCAGGTCTGAGCTGAAGACTGTCGAGTTATAATCTGGATGGACGAATATTCTGCTTACCTAGAAAAATTTATATAAATATATATGTGGTCTTTAATATTATCCTATCTGTAAGACAATTCTGTAGCACCTTATCAAATATTATAGAACGCAAATTTATAAACATCACACCCAGACCGGAAACAGCAATTTCTGCATCACACAAAGAGTTGTTCCCGTGATCAGTTGCCCAGTTACAGGCCAGGATGTCATAGTAGCTGGATTTATATTATATATTATGTTATTAAACGCACTCACGACACACAACAATTCTGGTTAGAAGAAAAATGATTGGAAGTAAGAAGGAATATATTCAACGTGTCAGTAAAAGTAACAAAATTACTTTAGACATCGTCCCACTCTAATCTACAATAGAAATTTGCAGGGCAGTCCCAAATTAGCTACGTACACATATGGCCAAAGTTCTCTCAATCAATTAAACTAGTTTCAACCGGTTCTGACTCTCGGCTGGTGCGGACAAAGGGTGCTAATCTATTTTACGCAAAGCGTATCAAGTGGATATGGCAAATCAAAATCAAACGGTAGTAAAGTAAATTATGAAAATGTAATAGTAGAACATTTTAATATTCAGTCGGAATTGCGGGGTAGGCGCAATAAGGCACCGCGGCCTCGGCCTAGAGCAGGAGAAGGAACGGGGGTATTTTAGTCAGTAAGAGTCTGACACTCGCCTAACCTGGACCGGGTGAAGAGATTAAAATTATTTTCCCACTACGAATAAAAACAAGAATATTTTAATATGTTAGAAATCTTGCCTATTGTACATTATGTTGCCAACGCAGACTGAAGGTCTAAACAATTGATAAAGACATGCGCTCACTAATAAGCCCGAACTTCTTGAACTGGAAATTAACTTGACTGGGCAACCAGCTGCTACATTTTACTTTACCGCACGGAACAACTCTGATTCTGATCCACCATTGGTTTTTGAGTTTGATTTATAAATGTGATTTTATATTTATACTTGTAAATTTTATTTGTAAACGCACTAAAGTAGAAAATTCTAGAGAGAAACAATATGTACAAAAAACATCTCTCTCTAATGTCGAACCATATGAACAAAAAATATACTTACAAACTTCACTTGTACTCCTTCAACGGAGTTCCTCAAGTTATGCTTCCCCAGGTAGACCGTCAGGGTGTTCTGATTGACGACCCTGGTTGAAAACTTCTTGGTGACGCAGTGAGCCGCAGTGACGACGTGCCGTCTGGACACCAGGGTACCTCCACAAATATACCTGAAGTCTACTGAAGTCTGGAAATAAAGAAATTGTCAGACATTTATTAACTATAACAATATCACGAGATATACTAAATTTATTGATAACTAGTTTTCGCCAGCGCCTTCGCCCGCGTGCTGTGTTGATAAAAATCAGCCTATAGCAATAGAACAAAATCGAAGTATACATAAAATGTGTTATTAATTGTCCCATTTTTATGGGTAAATCTCCAAATACATCTCCAATCAAATGGGTAAATACCCTATTACTTACTAAGTCTTTCTATCAGTCCGTTCATAGATAGAATAGTACCTAACTAATAGGCAAGTATCACAAATATTTCACAAAATCTATAAAATTATATTTTATACCGCGTCGCGTCGAGCGCAGCAACCGTTACACAAAAATAATCCCTATAGCATGATTCAGTGTTTACATGCGACGGCGCGATGGCTTATTATCCGAACTGCTAAGCTATCAGGAGTTACACGTGCTATTGTGAGTTAACCATATGCTGTTGTAGAACAATTATTTTTAGATAATTTTGTGTAGAATTTTTCCGTCATACATAATTTCTATGTAACTTTAACCATTAAGGCTAAACACGCGACGGAAACTTAAAAAAGGGAGTAACTTCTCCCTTTGTCCCAACATTTCCCTTAACTGTTCTGCTCCTATTTATTTGTAGCGCGATGAAAATTATCCTTTAACCTGCCCAGGAGTATAAAGAATAATTACACCAAGTTTTATTAAAATCTGTCGAGTATCTTTTGGTTCTATAAGGAACATACAGACAGACGGAAAAAAAAATTTTACTAATTGCATTTTTGGCATTAGTCTCGATCACTTATTACCCCCTAATAGTTATTTTGAAAATATATTCAATGTACAGAATTGACCTCTCTACAGATTTATTATAAGTATAGATAATAAAAAAATAACAAATAAACTGACTTCAAAAAGCAACATATAAATTTTCTGTGTACAAAGTAATACATGCTTTCATTTAGGTAAATAGAAAATAATATTAATAACTATTTTTATAATCTCGAAGTCGGTGCCAAGTAAATGCTACATACCAAACAGCAACAGAAACAAAAAAAACATGTATTGATCGGTACCTACTAAACATTATTGTTTTACTTGGCACCGACTTTTTTTTGAAGTCGGTTAAAAATGATTAGAATTTCAGTATTTTAAAGAATTCACTTACTTGTTGCTGGTATAATGCTATTTGCCACGGCCACTGTCCCTCCAGTGTAGCGGTTACACTTCGATCACTCTTCTTATCTTTATTCATTAACACGTGTCCACACAACAACTGAAAAGAAACATTAAATTTATGGTCAGCAAAATTTGTACCATCGTGTTAAACGTGAAAGAGTCTTACTTCGTTATTAAAGAGCCGGCTCTATCAGATACCTTGGCCTTATGAAAACAGGCGAAAACAATGCTCTCATTGGATTTTGCCACGTGATTGAAGCTATCATAGGCTTAATCCTCAACTAACCAAGCTTTTACCACGCATCATAATCGTTATGATCTATCGCTACCACTCCTTTGCCATAGACAAGAAAATAAATACAAAAACTCCATGAACTATGAAAATTATCCATCCTTAGATTACATACTCTGTCCTTTGTTATATTAAAACCTAAGTAATGGAAACTAGGCTTTAGATTCAGTAATCATGAACTTTTGGCCAAAGAAGTAGTCAATGTACTTCAATAAGTAGGCATATAAATTTATAAAATCCGCATAAAGCTATATTTTGTTTACACGCCAGCAAATCAAGGTACACAAAACCAATCTATCAAGATCTCGCTTTGAATAATCCATTCGAACAATCAAAGGTCAGTTTATACTGTTATTCTAGGCGTGTACACAAAGAAACTGCTTTTAAATTAGCATTCTGTGAGGATCTTTACCGTCACAGAAACAGGTTTTCCTCCTCATGATGGAAATGTATGCAAAAATGTGATCAGGTTTATCCGTTTAGCTGTTCAGTCATAGACTGTTTCAATATGCGACTTATAACCAAACCTCAATAGAGACTGGTTTAAAAATAATCTTAAATGACAATCATAATTAATAATTATGATAAACGGTTCTATTTGAAATTCGAACAAAAACAAACGACCTGAGAACTCTTTCTTTTTTCGAAGTAATTTATAATAGAGTTTTTTATAAATACGTGAAGTCATATGTCATAAGGAATAAATTGTGGGAACTGAAAAATTCCAGCGAAGCATGCTTTGGTACAAATGGACTAGCTCGACTGGTATGGCGGAATACGGTATGCGGCAAAGCTGGAGTTGCGTTTACCGGAGACAAAAGCTTTTACCCCAAATCTCCAATCTCCAAATGCCAATCTTCATATCCCTAATAACCCCCAAAAAACCAACAACGCACTTTTGGTATCGTGTTCGTGGTTTGCCTTCTTGTCCCATAAAATACACCGTCTATGGACTATTTCAAAAGGGAGGATTCCTATCACTGTTCCGAGAATAGCTTCCTGACAGACGGACGGTCTCAAGAGTAACTCTTTGGACACGGTACCCTCAAAATGCAAGGCTTTATTATATCGCGTATAATAGTGACTTCCTGCAGATTTTTGGTTAAAAAACTATCCTTTGTCCTTTCTCGAGTTCCAAACTATATCTGTACCAAATTTCACACAAATAGGTTCAGTACATAGTTTAGGCGTGAAGAAAAGACAGACAGAGTTACTTTAAAATTTATAATATGAGTTTGCAATAGCTCAATTTGCAAACGCCGTACCGACGAACGAACATTGTAAGACCCAAAATTTTCCAAAACGGACCAGCTATTCTCGAGATTTAGCGAAACTAACGAATAGCAATTCATTTTTATATATTAAAAGAAGATATAAGCATAATATACAACAAACAAGTAATTAGCACTTATTTGATTTAGGCGCTAAAAATGCGCTGATGCGGCGCTTAATTAAGTCAGGGCTTAATTATTCAGGTCCGCAATATTGTATTAATACTGTTCCCGACATTGATTAATTATGCTTTAAATATTAATTATGTAGGTACATAATTTGATAGTATTATGTACTTATGTGTGTATACCAAAAGACGAACAATGCTGAGATTGAAAAATATCATCGTTATCATCAGCCTGTAAGGCAAATGCCTCTTCTCACACAGGGAATATTTCAGCATTAACACATTCAGTGCCCCCGACGCGTATGTGCGTGCGAGGAAACGCACATACGCGTCGGGGGCACTGAATGTGTTAATCACCGAGCTTGCTCAAAGCGAAATGGCAATTTGAAACTAATAATATTTAAAATTAAAAGTCAAGGTTCCTTCACAACTTTTTCCTTTGCCATATCAATGCACCAAACAATGAAGTTATTTTTGCAAATAGGCTATAAAACAGCATTTTTATACGTCAGAATTATATGTCCAGAAAAAATCCAGATGGAGCTGATTTTCTGCATGACTACCCAGTGAAGAAATGCCGAAACAAACTCGGAATTCAAGGTCTTTTAATTCAACAAACCTCAAGCGAATGCAGGCAAGGCGTTCGCGGAGCTATTGTTCTTTTATTGTCTCGAATTACTACGATAGAAAGGTTGAAGTCCTGTAGAAACCTGGCAAGTACAAATGTGACTTTTTCCGAGTTATATGTACTTTCTATGATTATTTAGACACCACTGACATAAGGTGAAGGGGTGAAGGTAAACATCGTGAGAAAACCTGGACTTGTAATTTCTAATTATAAGTTTGAAATCGCCAATCCGCATTGAGCAAGTGTGATGATTAATATTCACAACTCTCCGTGTGAGAAGACGCCTTTGCTCAGCAGTGGGCAACTTTTAGGCTGATGATGATGATGATATCAAAATATTGTGACGGAAAAGTGGTTCAAACTCTTTGACATCATGACGTCAATGGATGGTTGTCAAACGTTGCCTAGAGATTGTAAATTTCGTCGTGAATTGTCAACACGAGCTGGTGTAATCGGCAAGGCGTGTGGATTACACCACAGAGATCCCGAGTTCGAGTCCCGCCGTAAACATGAAGTTTTTTAGTTGATGGAAGTTTTGTCGAACTTTCTGGAATTATTTGTGTGAAAGAAATGAAAAATTAAAGAGCGAGAAGGAGAATAAATAAAAATGAATAACGAAATTATTGGAAGGTTCTGGAGGCATGACGATCAAAAAGAATAACGAAATTGAATGTTCCAGAACCTGACCGGGGGTATATAAGCGGAACTGCGGCTCACCGCTGGCAGTTGAGTTCTAAGTCCAAAGCGATTCGGAAGAAAAGGAAGAAGTGAAAAAGAAGAAAAGTGAGCGAAATAGTGAAGTGCAGTGAAATAGTGAAGTGCAGTGAGTTAAGTGAAACTGTGAGCGGCAAACGGAAGTTTGTGTCAGTCGCCCGGACTCTGCTGGAGAGGAACGCCGAAAACTTAACTCGGTGGACACTGTCATTTAAGTGCAATAGAAAGTCTGAAAACCGGTATTAGTGTTTAATTTTATCCAATCCCGTAACCCAAGCCCGCATAGTCAGGAACGTGACGTCAGGCACCTAACAATATGTAGAAAATTATTGAAATAAAAATGTCGTTCCACATTAACTTTAGTTCTACTTACTTCTGTCTTAGGTCGTGGTGCGTGGTTGGGTATGTAGAAAATTGGCAATCCTCCGACGTAGTATTCGATCTTATCTTCTTTTCTGAAACATTTACATAGCAATTGAACTTCAACCGTTCTTCTACTCAAGTTTCTTCTTCTTAATTCTCCATGTCAAGCATGGTAGTTACACCATACATTCCCTCAATCACCAGTAATAGTAGGTGGTAGGAAAATAATTGTGTATAGCCTCGTTATGACAGAGAGTGGAGCAAAAAATATTTGGTCATCAGAAATAACAATCTATGAGAACCTAAAGTACATTTATTAAACCACTCTTTTCTTTTCTATAGATCTCTATGAGAGAGCTATGCTTCGACATGAGTGGGCCGGCTTGACCGGAGTGATACCCTCACATGCGTAGTGTTTCATCGTGTGAGTGAAGTCAATTGAGACCCAATATCCCTCCCTACCTCCCCCCCATTCTTAAATTCTTCTTAAATCCCTAATAACCCACAAGGGGCCGGCAACGCACAAGCTAGTATTACGAGTATGGACAGTCCTTGTACCAAAGGGTACTGATTACAGATTGCTTACCATCCGTCTGCTCGTTTGCCGACCAATAGCATAACAAAGTAAAAATAAAAAAACAGCTCCACACTTTTAATTTAAAATCGTTTAAATGCAAACAAGTAATAAATGAATAAATCTTACTTCGGCAAGTCATAGTCGTCTGACATTGGCTTATAGAACAATGCTGCAGGTGGCGCGTCTGTGGTCAGCTGATAACTATTGTGTGTATAACGTGATTTACTGTTTTCATCCAAATGCTTCATTATGTCATCGCTACTGAGAAAAAGGCAAAATAATAATTATTAACCTAATATCAAAACCATCTACTTTTTATGAGACAAGCCCCCCCCCCCCCCCCCACAACCTTCTAAAACCGCTACAACTCCTGTAAGCCAGTTTCTACAGTAGATACATAAAACATAGAAACACTGAAGTCCCAGAGACATGAATGACTGGCTTGGATCCCGCAACGAAATCAATCAGAAGTTATTATTTGAGGAGAAGAAAAAACTAAATCGTTTATAAAATCTACATTAGTTAATATTCTAAAAATAAACATATTAATACTCACTATTTAATATAGCCATCATCATCTGCTTCTAATCCCATTTTGTGTTTGTTATTATGACCAATATAACTTTGAGCCCTGTCTCCAGGCCATGCCGAAGTTTTTTCATTAGACCAATTCTGTTTCGGTACATCACCATCAGTTCTTTTTATTGGTTTCACAACTAGGCGATCTTCTTCCACGTCGTAATGCTGTTCTGTCTTTTGATTAATATTCGCTGAACTTACTTTTTGGGTCTTTTCCGATTCTTGCCTATTTGCACTCTGTGAATATTCTCCAGCTTGGTACCTGTCATCTGATACCCTTTCTCTGTCTTCAGGTCGGACATATATTGGAGTATTATGTGTTGGACGTTCAGTGCGAGTTCCTGATACAGATAGTCTGTCATATGTCTGGTTACGATGCCCAGCTCCAGAATATGTCGGCTGACTTTCAACCCATATGAAAGATGAACTGTCCGTTTCAGTTGGTTTTGGTACACCTAAAGTGATATTGTCTGCTGGAATTTTCGGCCAATGTTTTATTTGCACTTCTTGTTTATCTAGTGCTTGTGAGTTGTTTTCTATTTTAGTTTCTGATAATGAATTGGTTTGGTTCTTTGTCACCTTCGCAATTGACCAAACTACAGTTTTATCCGTAGTATAGTATGTACTTTCATTTGCAGGCTGTATATAGACAGACGTATTTGATTGTTGATTATTTTCTACATTTTGTACTTCATTATTTTTAGACCAGTTACTTGAATTTTGAACATGACCTTTGGTTTTGTTTTTGTTACTGGTAACTCTACTGTGTGACCAAGTTTGCACTTTAGATATTGTATTATTTTCCGAGGTAGTATTTATTTTGTCTTCAACTTTTGTTTGCTGGGTGTTATCTACCTTGACGTAAGGCCAAAGTTGAGGTTTTGCAGTTGTTTCGGTTTTGTCTTCCCTTTTAGTCCAAAATACTGGTTTTATGGTCGTTTGTTGCCAGTATTGGTGTTTTGAAGTAGTACGTGCGGTACTTTCTGTAGTTTTTGTGTCCGTCCAGAACTGTGGCTTTGTTGTTGTCGTTTGTCTGCTAACAGATTTCACTGGGTAAACATTTTGTGTCGTTGTTTGTGGCCAATAAGATTTTGTAGTAGTTCGTTGCTTGTCAACCTGTTGGTACCAATATTGTTGCGTTGATGTCGTTTGGTGTTTATGACTGATCGTAGATGACGTTACTGAAGGTCGCACCGTAGTCGTATCGGTTTCTCTGGACCACACGTCGTAAACAATTTGTTCCGTTACAGTTTTTGGACTTTCACTAACTTGAGGGATTTCTATATTACATATTTCTCTTCCATTTAGTCTTATGGCCTTTAACTTAGGCTTAAAATTTTGAGCTTTATACTGAACAAAAAAACGTACACTGAGAGGTTCCTCGGGACTGATTTTCGTTTTAGTATTTTCTATTTTGAAGTCTATATTATCATCAGTCGTTACCTCGCCTATCCAGTTCTGCAACATAGACAAAGTTGTAAAACAAAAAGTGAAAATATTTAGGTATTTATTAATTATTAAATATAAATTTGAAGGTCACGTTTGGTCAATACTTTGATAGTAATTCGCATTAAAGTAATGCGAGTATCAATATTCTAATTATTATTAAATAATTTCATTTGTTTTACCACTGAACAGACTAAACTTTTTATATAAAGCACATCAACACAATAGAAGGCAGAAATCTAAAAACAACTACATTTCTACCAAAGAATAAACAGCATCTATTTATATTAATCCAAACAATATCTAGCGACTCACCCCAAGGATATCAGCCTTGCCGTCGAGCACAATGTTCATCCAAAGTCCATAGAGGGTAAACTCCGAAGTAAAGTTCACAACACCGTACCACTTCCCAGCTTCAGTTCCCGGTGGTTCATATTTGAATACACTAGGGCAAGGCGAGACAAAATCTGAAGCTTCAATCACTTGTCCCGAGACAGACATTAAAAAAGCCAGAAGAGACGCAACAGCTTGAATCTGCAAAATCACATTTAATATATATTTTTTTTCATCTGTATATTCATTATTTTCGCAATATGTGTGTAGTTTCATGTTTGATACTTTTCTAAGGACTATCTGAATTTCAGGCTTCTGTATCTTATAAAGGGTTAAGACAAAAGGTGTGTTTGTTCTTGTATCATAATCATAATGCCTTTTGGATTATTGTTTAGATATGCTATGATAGATTATTGTAAGAACATCAAAACTCTTTTTTGGCACCTACATCATGGTCATCGATGCCATTATAAAAAGGTAGCGTATTATAAACACGCTCCGTTATTGTACCATTGATTAGTACTTCGATATTCTTTCTGCGCTGTAAACAGACTTTTCTAGTAGACATCTGTTTATTTTTTTATTAATGAAATCCGTGACCTAGGTAAATAGTGGTGTTTATAAATAAAAATAAATGATCAAATTTGTCGTAGTGATTTGGAAGTTGTAAGCGTACAGATATTTCGGCAATTCATTTTTAAATTCGGAGAGCTAGTGCGTTGTCGATTGTAAAATTTTCGGTCCCTTTTTACCCACATACGCCTTGGTGGAGATCGTAGCTAAGATCGCAAGTCATTTTAAAGTACCTCTAAATCATACCGCAATTATTTATATTGATGAGGGCCCACTTTGGACGGATTTTTATCGTATTTGCAACATTTCCAGACAAGGTAAGGTTTGTTCCAAACAGAGGTCCCGTTTTGGAACTTAAAAAAATCAAAGTATACGGAATTTTTCTACTTCCTTCTTAAAATTACATTTGTCTATCGGCTGATCTTAACAAATGCGTCGTAGATATCACCATTATAAAGATCTGTTGAATGTTGTGGTGACGCGGAAGCCTCTTGTGCGTGAGTACTAAACTGACTTTTTCCGCGTTATAATAAAATTATGAATATACTTCTTAAGATTATTTAAACATCACTGATGTATAGTTAAAGAAAACATAGTGAGAAAACCTGGACTTATAATTTCTAATTGTAACTTTGAAGAGTCTTTATCAGTGTGAGAAGAGGCCTTTGCTCAGTAACGAAACAGTCCTAAGCTGACGATGACTAGTAAGTGCTGTCAGTTTTCGTTGGCAAGAGAAAGCTCTTAATAACAACACAATTTGATAGGACCCTCAATTCTTTTGATATCAATTTATAAAAAATCCGTCGAAATATTTGTAATATAAATATGTAAAATAAATTCTGTCTTAAATTATGTACTTAAGTTTTCTTATTCAATTGCCTCCTATACTATATGTGAGGCATTCTATGTTTCTTGGAATTCTTCCAACAAAACAAGCTACGAAGCAAAATTAATAAAAATATCCGCACAACATCTGTATTTATAATAAACCGGTTCATCTATAGAATTGATCACCACACTTGACATTATCACCACATTTTCTAATCACCGAATTAACACTGTCACTAATCACTATAAAAGCACAAAGCTTACCATTTTGAACCCCCACAACGGTTCTATTTACAAAAAACGGTAATTTTTTTCTAAGCACCGTCGGCGCCCGCGCTTGTTTTTGCACGAATGACATACAAGTTATTCTTAAAGTTCAACATCCAACGAAGAGGATGTGAGGAAAATTTTCTTTGTGTTCGAAAGAGATGGATATATGTCGTGATTTATGAGATAGACAGAAAGAAAAACCAGTATTTTTATTATGCTCGTATCTAAATAATCTTAGAGGTTATGGAATATTAATAAAGCCGCTCCGTAAACATGTTTTGCATCATTTATTTATGTGTTATAAAAATTCTTAATACCATTTTAGGATATTTAATTAACTGGCTGACTGGCTCATTCTTTTAGTAATGTGTTTACGAGTGCGAATCTGTGTGTATTTTGGGTTTTTTAATTTAAATATTTATACGTATAAGAATTTATTGGTGCCTTATGGGTTAAGTATTTTTATGGTATAGGTCGCCAAATGGACTGACGTATCGCCTGATGATAAACAATTGCGGGCCTGTAACAACACAAATACAAATTTGTAACTTACTGGTACTGTTTTCAGTGTTGTATATGACAATGGTTGAGATGAAAAAAATATTATTATAATCGCGGCGCCCATGAATACCTGCAACACGAAAAGAGTTGGTTTGTTGCTAGGCATTTAAGAATTGAGGATTAAGTGATATAAGAAAAGGATTGGAATTGAGGATTAAGGGATTGGGTATATAAGCAAAAACAATTAGGTCAACGATTTCGTCATCATCATCAGCCCATAAGTGCCCACTGCTGAGCAAAGGCCTCTTCTCATACGCAAAAGGTTAGAGCATTGATCACCACGCTTGCTCAATGCAGGTTGGCGATTTCAAACTTATAATTAGAAATTATAAGTCCAGGTTTCCTCACGATGTTTACCTTCACCGTATGTCAGTGGTGTCTAAATATTCATAGAAAGTACATATAAGTCGGAAAAAGTCACATTGGTACTTGCCATGTTTCGAAACCACACCCTCATGCATGAGAAGCGGGGCTCCTTTACACACTTTACATTGCTTTACCCTAGAGCAGGAAAAGGGACGGGGGTTTTTTTAATCAGTAAGAGTCTGACACTCCTTCTCGCCACACAAAAAGGGCACTCAATCAGCTTATACGAGCTAAAAAATTACGTATGGAAAATAGACATAATAATGTATACCAAATGTAACTTAGTAAACTAAACTAAGTCGATGACAAAATATTCAAATAAAAATCGTAAAATTAACAACAGAATCAAGCAAAACAAAACGGCATTTTAATAAATTCGCTTGTACATTGATCTCAGAAAAGCTTGAATCTTGTACGTTGTCTAGGTCAGTTACTGGCTTTTCAGCGCTGTTGTTTCAATGCCTGTATTTCTAAAAAGTTTTTATAATAAATATACATTTTTTTTTTGCTTAACAACAGGGCCAATTTCGTAAATGGTTAGCAAAGATGATAAGAAATATGTATGATGCATTTTAAGGTGTATCAATAACTATTTAATGGAGTATAAATATTTAAAAGAACAACATAAAAATATATTTAAACACTAAAATACAGCCACCAGGCTAAAACAACAAAACAGGTAGCCGCTAAAACAAATATATGTAATTTACAGACTAAAATCCAAACGAGATAAAATGAGAAAGTAACTCTGTCTGTCTTTCTTTTCTTCACGCCTAAACTACAGATATAGTTTAGAACTCGAGAAAGGGCATAGGATAATTTTTAAACCAAAAATCTGAAGGAAGTGTGGGAGAGCCATGCTTCGACACGAATGGGTCGGCTCGACCGGAGTGATACCACAGAAAACCGGCGTGAAATAACCAAAGAGTTGTATTTCGCCGTGTGAGTGAGGTTACCGGAATCCTTCCCCTACCCCAATCCGTGCCCCTTACCTACCCGAAAGGTCGACAACGCATTCGTAACTCCTCCGTCGTAGCGGTTGTCCAATAAAAAAAGGAAGTCACTATTTCAAGCGAACAAAGTAGCGGGCAACAGAATTAATATAAAAATAAAATTATATTAATCTTAAATTACAAAATATATATGTGAGATCCAAACAATTAATCAATAGAAATGTGGTCATTTATCTGTTTTTGTGTTGTTGTAGTTTGGGAAACATCCCCATTTTTTTTATTTAATTTTTCGTAAGAACTTTTCCCCTGGCTATAACTTTCTCCTGTGTCGTGGTGAGTTCATAAAGATACAAATTCACATACGCATGCTACCCAGACAGAAAACAATATTTGGTGTATCACACAAGGTGTTTTTCGTGCAGGAAACAAACCCGCGACAACCAGCTGCCCGGCGACTGCGTCAACTGTGCAATGAGATGCAGTATGTACATCTTTCCTTTGCGCTTTGCATGTTGCCCAGACATTGCACCAACCAACTTCTTGATTTTTTTTGTCTGTCAAAGATTTTGCATGCAATTTTTATATTCCATACAATTCAAAGCCCACGGTAGTACTTTAATTTTTTCATTAGCACTCAACATGGCTTTATCAAAAAGACTTTTCAATAAAAACTTCAGTTTACAGTTCCTGAAAATAAAAAACGACTCACAATTTAAGATGAAGATTGTATTTTTTTTTTGGTTTTCCCAGATCTCTGTTTATATAATTTGTTAAAGGTTTCTGAAAGGCTTGTCAACGCTAAAATTAACTAATCACCTGTTAAATCTCTTGTCAAGTCATCTGATTGGTTGTTGATAATTCAGTCAACCAATCAGATGACTTGACAAGAGATTAAATTGATTTTAACATTGATCGGCCTTTCGGAAACCGGTTTATAGAGTCTGACCAGTCATTTGATCTACTGTAAAACAATTTTCGTATACCCCATCATAATTTTATCCTTCGGATTTTACATTTGTTATCTGTTTTAAAGGACACAGTTTTACCAGAGAGCGCTGCTGCCCGGTCTCGGTTAAATGTGTACTTTTAATCATATTTTACGAAACACACAAGAAGATTAAGATGGTGACCATTGTCGAGTCCCTCAAAGAGCCAATAGACAACCTCATTTGCGGCTGTAAGGCTATTGTTAAGCTGGGGTTGCGGAGCGCGAAAGGAACCGAGGCCTCGACCTAGACCTGGAAAAGAAACGAGGTGGGTTTTACTCAGTAAAAATCTGACATCCCGTGTGTTCGGTTACTATCCCTACCCCTAAATGTCCAAAACCCTAATCCACAAAAATCTGGCAACGCGCTCATAACTCCTCAAGTTTTGCGAGCTTTCGCGATTGGCGCTGATGCTAACCATCACGTACTCTATAGGTCCGTAGCCTTACCACATAAAAATTATACCATCATGATTAAAACGCAATAAAACGAAGAGTCGACTTCGAATTTCAAATTATTTCTAAAATTCTCACTATGAGCAACTATTTTTAATCGAAATTCAATAATGTGAAGTAAGTACGTCACTACAGGGAGCGCCCACTATAAATGGCCAGACCCTTTCTGTTCAAAACAGAATCCATCAACAATTTCAAGCTACGGAGGGTCTAATCAGCCAAAAATACAGTGATCGAAGCAATCGGAATAAGCTCCGGTCCCTAATTTCGACCAACAGGCTCACATTTAGTCCCGCGCGCCGTGATTAGAAATGTGGGTCAAACCGGGGTCATTTCCAATCAACAGATTTAGGGTCAAAATTCAAAATGTGGGATTTAATTTTGTACCCTTGTCAGATGAATGATGGTTTAATACCTACCTAAATGTTTTTTTTTTTACTTGCAATAAACTAGTGCTTGACTGCGATCCCACCTGATGGTAAGCAGTGATGCAATCGTTGATGGTAAGGCGCACTAGTTTATTAAGAGCCTATTCACTCTAGCCTTGAAGACACCTAAATTGTATTCGGACGGAAAGACTGCAGCCGGCAAACTGTTCCAATCCCTCGATGTACGCGGTATAAATGACGAGGCAAAACGCTTAGTCCGGGCCGCAGGTGTCTCAACAACGTAGGGGTGGATATTCGCCCTACGCCGGGATGTCCGAAGGTGAAATTGGGATGGCGGAATCAAATCGTGTGTATCATCCGTTGCTTTGCAGGAGTGGTTGTGAATGCGGCTGCCAAGACAATGATGAGGATATATAGGTATTTATATGTACGCAACATCTGTAGAATCATTACAAAAGATGTTAATCTAAACTAATAAACAAATAAACAAAGAAACAAACGAACAGGTCCGTAGCCTTGCTTGTATATCATGTATCTAACACGAAAAGAATAGTTGAATTCGGAGTAGTAGTCCTAAGCTTTATAATAACGTCGTGGTGGCCCGGAGGTTAAGGAGCCCGCTTCTTATGTATGAGGATGTGGGTTCGAAACCTGGCAATTACCAATGTGACTTTTTCCGAGTTATAAGTACTTTCTATGATTATTTAGACACCACTGACATACGGTAAAGGCAAACATCGTGAGGGAACCTGGACTTATAATTTCTAATTATAAGTTTGAAATCGCCAACCCGCATTGAGCGAGCGTGGTGATTAATGCTCTAACCTTCTCCGTGTGAGAAGAGGCCTTTACTCAGCAGTGGGCACTTATAGGCTGATAATGATTATAATAATATTGGTGTGGTAAATAAAATACACGTAGTATGTATGTACATATATTATTATTATGGAATAAAACAATAACATGTGAAAATTATAAACAAAATACACATTTAATGGAATCCGTTAATAACATAAGATCATTATTGGTTTCATAAATTGGGAACAGCGAACGGCTGAATGAAACCACGAAAACTACAAATCCCGATGAAATAACTCTTAACCTCATTGCTCAAAGCGGATTGGCGATTTCAAATTTACAATTAGAAATTATAAGTCCAGGTTTCTTCACAATGTTTTCCTTCTGTCGTCAGTGGTGTCTTAATAATAATAGAAAGTACGTATAACTAAGAAAATGTCACGTTGGTACTTGCCAGGTTTCGAACCCTCATACATGAGACCTGTGTCTTGGTACCATGGAACGAAAGGGAATATCAGACTCTGACCAAAAACTACTCCTTGTCCTAATAAAGGTTGGAGCGGCGTTG